ATGCACACCTGTGAATTCGAATTTAGTTTTTGAAATTCTAGAACATTCACTCATTAAAAGTATTCGAATTATATAGATCTATTTGCAATCATTTTTATTCTGGTCATAAAATCAATATCATCCTTCTGTATAGTACGCATTAAATGCAGACTTTTAACTTAAAAATGAGTTACAACTGAAAAGTAAAACTAAACCATTTACTTTGACTACGACATACAATTAGAGTTTTAGAACAAGAAAACATTTTTAGTGTTTCATGCTGCATTATATAAAACTTCTTACAGTAAAAAACAGAGAGAGTATGGTCAACCGAAATCAAGATTAAATTTTTTATCGACAAAAACGGTGCTTTTTAAATTTATTTACCCTAATTTTATGTATTTTAAAAAACAAATTCTATAACATCCATATATGCCTGACAATGATCAACGATTGTTGACCCGATGGGGTCCATTCTACACCAGCATCCACTCTTGTATTTGATATTTTCAGCAACAATTCATTTCTCATGCAGTAAAATGTATTGTATTATATCTAATGTTCTGAATCACCTACAAGTAATTGTATCAAAAAACAAGAATCCAGTATCTTTATCATAGATTTTATCTACTATGTTGGCTGTTTGAATGTTGCTGGAGAGAGAAAGATACTATACTTTATTAGAAAACCAAATTGCTTAGGAAAAATTATCCATTTACGAGTTATTCTGTTTTAAGACATTTTCTTGATTATTTGTTATAAACTATTCTTAATTAAAAAAACCTTCGTCTTAGTGTCATGCATTCCATGTGATGAATCTATGAAGCATCGTGATTGCTTGAAATTTATTTAACGTAATTAACTAAACGAATCTCACGACTATACATATCGAAGCTAGTTGACAAACCATTCTTAGATCTCCAGACTAGTTCGGGTTTTAAAATGTTACTCGAGGTTGAGTGTTATATTTTTTGAATGTCGATATGAAACTTCGTCTATCTAGTATAACCTCAACGATAGTGCTTCTTAAAAAAATTCAGAAGTTTTCAATCAAATATCTTCCGAAGCACGAAGTAGCCGCTGTTGTCATTACCCTCTACTTACTCTATAATCGTCAAGTGTGATAAATACATAATTCGTATATTGCAAGAAATCCTTACTCAGAGATGATCTTTGATGGCATATTAAGAACTTCTATCATGCTCTTATGGGTGTGGGCGTAGATGTCGATCTACTTTTAGCTCACACCCACACCCTGTTGCTCTTCTATGGCATTCTTATCAGTAACCTCTCTAATAGCTTGTTCTATGATTGTTCTGCCTTTTCCAGAAAAACTGTTATTGATCTCCTGTTGATTATTAAAACATCAAGAATTAATATATTTTTGTATTGAATCATTCAATGTAGTGTATTGTTGTGTTAAATGATAAAATTTGTTTATAATAAATAAAATAAAGTTATAGACAAATATATTTCGAAAATAGTTAAAATAAAACTAGTATTTGTTGTCTATAATGTAACATAAAGATCTATTTATTTTGTTAACATCTTCCATCTATCTTTCATATAATTTAGCTCTGTTTTGTGCATCTGTTGTGCACTACTTATCATTGTATTTGAGGGTGTGAAGTTATGGTCGTTGTGTTTCTGTACTTGTTCTTCCAGAACCTGAACCATTGACACAGCATCACATATCAGTCATCAAGTATTCGATTACGATTTTCTTAATTATTCATTTCAATCATCACATTCTCTGATCAAATCTCTTTTAGATGTTTTCTATAAATAAAAGGCTGATACTCAAGAATAATGAATCTCTTTTGCATAGATATCTAGTGACATTTAACATAGACATATTTTTAAAAGAAAGACTTCATATTCACATAATTATTTGATTGGTGATCAAATAAGGTTTTTGATGACTCATTAAAATAATTTTCTAAGTTTTGTTTAGTTCCTATTATATTAGACATTTCTATTGATATATATTTTTTTGATTTAGTTTAGTACTTAGTTTTTACGAAGATATCTAGAACTGGAAAATATATTAGTTTGTAGTGACTGGCTAAGTTACTATTCTCGATTGCTATAAAAGATTTTTCTCTTGTTACTTGCAAAAGTACATTTATGAAATTCTCTCTTAACTCAAATATTCATTCAAAGAATTTTAAAAAATTTGCGCCATATTACATTGTTATTCAGAGAATCGGTTCATTTTAGTCTATAGTCATCAATAGATTGATCTAGCCCATGTGATGAAGACCACCGATAATTATCGGTGAATCGTGGTTTACCAGAAATGCGTTTAGAAGAAAACAATTCACTTCTGTTTGATATCAAACTTAGAGAAATCTTTGTTTTTTAATAAAAGTGTTTGAATTTTGACATCCAGCAGATAATGTTGGCATATAATGAATATCTCCTGACCTAGATTCATTTTACAACTTCTTGCTGATCTTTTAATTGGTCACGACTAGTGAATCAGTTTACCTGAAACTAGCTCCTGTCGACTCAAAGTGAAGATACATTAAAAATAAATACTTAGGGCAATCCAAAAGTCCTGTCGTCAATACCTTATCTCCGCATAGAAAACTTTAAGAAACTTTCTTTCTATATAGTCTGATAGAGAAAAGAATGCTCTATGTTTCTATGCTATTTGATCATACTTAAACCAATATCATAACAATAAACTTTCGATAAGACTTGTTTTACTATGATATGTGACTGCTAGTACAAGTGCCTATTCAATGGATATTTTGTTGGATAACTTGTGATAGAAACAAGAGAGAGAGCTGCGGTTTTCATCGTTCAAAAGGGGAGATGAATATGCATCGAGTCATATATTATAGGTTTTTTTGGCGTGACTTTTTTAAAGGTTTTCAATCAACCTTTTTGAAAACAAACCTACTCGTGAAGTGTTTACAATGAATTCTCAATTGTCAGGTGTGTATTGAAACCGCCTACGGAAGATCTACAAAACTGTACAAGGTTCAGATATTTAGAATTAATCATTCAGAAGTAATAGGTATCCTAATCGAAGTTTTAAGTGATTTTTCTGGCATTTTCTGTAAAAGAATTTTTTACTGCTTTCTTTTTGATAAGAAACCATTTTTTCCACACTTAGAAAACTGATTAAGCAAACAACAGACCAAAGGCTATGAAAGCATAGTATACATGATTCGATGCATCTTGATCTCCTCTTTCGAACGATGAAAACCGCAGTTCTCTACCTTGTTTCTATCAAAAGTTATCCAGCAAAATATCCATTGAATAGGCACTTGTACTAGCAGTCACATATCATAGTAAAACAAGTCTTATCGAAAGTTTATTATTATGATATTGGTTTAAGTATGATCAAATAGCATAGAAAAATAGAGCATTCTTTTCTATATCAGACTATATAGAAAGAAAGTTTCTTAAAGCTTTCTATGCGGAGATATGGTATTGACAACAGGACTTTTGGATTGCCCTAAGTATCATTTTGACTATCAAGTTTTTATTGCCTCAGACATCATCTAAAAGTTGTATGAGCAACGATGTCTAAACAAATAGTTTTTTAGCAGCATCTATTGTCATTTTATTTTATTTTTTTGTGTTCGTTTCGTTATTGAGTGAGTAAAACTGTGATTTATATACTGAACTAGGCTATCAGATAGTTTTCATCAATGAGAAACAAGAGAATGGTACTTTTCGCATCTAACTCAAGACTTTTCTGTTTTTGTGTGCAATTTTCCGATCATTGTGATCGCTCAATCTATGTTTCAAAAGAAATTATCAGTTAATCGTAGTTTACTGCGACAATTATTCCAGTATTTTCAACATGGCAAGTGTCAGACAAGACAAGATGACGACAGAGAATCTTCCGTATCAGCTGTGTGTTGATGCATTATGTTGCTCGAACGGAAGCCAAAAGATAGTTAGATCTACAGTAGTTAAGGCGAATTCTGGATCATTAGTATTTTGATGAACTCGAAACAACAACTTGATTTGAGAAAGAAAAAGTCCGATTCAGTAAATCGGCATTCATTATAAAATAAATATAGATTTGATCGTATACAAACGTATTTATGGATCATTTGGAGTAATAATACTGATAAGTTCAGATTTTCAAATCCAAAAATTGTTGATTTTATTTTAGTTGATGTATATAACGAATAATGTAAATATGTATAATTCACAATTATAGCCATAACCGATGTTGTTGATATAACTTGAGCCACGATCAAAATCACCAATAATAATATCATCATCTTAATGAGTATAATATTTTTTATTGAATTAAAACAATGAATTATTTCTCTAAATAGAAAAAAAATATTTATACCGTGTCATGCCTTGCTAGCAGTAAATCAAGGTATATCAACAACATCAGTTAATGGTTACGGTTGTGAATTATACATATTTATATTATTCATTATGCAGATCAAGTTCTGACGATGGTCGAAAAGACCGAAACTTTAATATTGAAAAAAAGTTTTCATTATTATTGAAAAAGAAAAAAAGAAAATCAAAAGCTTTTGATTTGAAACTTTGAACCTTTAGCTATTGTTGCTAAAAACGATTCATACAGAATAGCTGAGATACTTGCAATCTTGGAACATAGGACCCCTTCTAATTTCAGTTTTTCAGAAAGATTACATGCAGATGAAAGCCACTCTTTTTCTAAATTGAATTAAAGTATCAAAAAATGAATTTTTTTCAGTATTCTATGTGAGTGACATCGGAAACATAGTTTTTTTTTGTCTGTTTTTTTATTTCAATTATCGAAACACAATCGAATAAGTCTTTAATTCAACGACAATCATAAATGAAACTGAAAGATAAGATTGATCGAGATAAAAAATATATCAGCTGTCGTTACCACTATTCTATGTCGAAAATTCATCTTTACTGAAAGAAAACTAAACAATATTTTCTTTATGGAGTTTATTAAAACACATATAGTTAAGATAAAAGAAAAGTTTAAGATAAAGCGTAGTTAAATACTAACTAGAAAAAAATAAATTGAAGTTAAAAAAACGTTAAACATGGAGAAAAATGAATGTAGTAAAAACAATCATAGATACAGTAGAAATCACCAGACAAAGACGATCAATGACCCTTGCCACAAATTTCCATTCTTGAGATTCATCATCTTCTTTCTCTTGTTGCCGAGAATGATCAGTAAGAATAGCAAGTTGAGAAATAATCATAAGCAGCTTAGAACGAACCATTTCCGTATCACATGTAGACAATTCTTTCAATGTATTCTGATAATGTTGAGAATGGTGAGTTTTTGTTGTTGAAGGTACAACATTTTCTAATAGTGAATCTGAGCGTTGTTTTTCTCGATTTTCTAAGGATTCTAAAGGTTCCCTGTCAATATTCATAGCGTTGCTCGATAACAATTCGAATGTATTATTCAACAATGGTTTAAAAGGAATCTTAGATTGATCATTGCCAATTGATTCATTTATATTATTCGATTCTTGTTTTGGAGAAGCCCATCGACGACGAATTGCACGCCAACTCAAATCATGATTAGGGCGTTTCATACATAATAGCCATGCTAAATAGTTACAAATATACTTACGAATCTGAAATAATTTCTAAAATCATGTGATTTATTCATTTTTAAATATGATTTACCCATAATGGCATTGTATAATTTTTAGAGTTTCGAAAATGAAGCGATAATACTAATACTGATGCAATAACTGAAACCACTGACATGATCATAACACACATGAAATAAATAGTAATAATCGGTATAGCATTTGAACTTGGTGGCATAATTTCTGATAGAAGTAAACTGAACATTACAATAGTTAGAAGAGTTGTAATCTCTGAAGATTTAGAATATATAAGAGCAAATATTTTAACATCAAATTCTAACTTACGTAAGTTTATTTTATCACCACTATCCGGTGGTAATAAAAGTCCGAGTATTGTCATACAACTGATAAGAAAACAAGGTACTACGAAACAGAAAAACAATAGTATTAATGAAAAGATTAGAGAAAAATCTTGTAATTTGTATTTTATTACCAACGGTATTTGCTATATAATAAAGAGAACGTCGACGCATTCGAATTGTGTATAGTACGTATGGATAAATATTTGGACAACAGTCGTATTTGGTTCTGTTGTTCGTTGCAGAGAAATCTAAAACAAAATGAATAGAATAAAATGCACATAATCCATATCGATTACCTTCTAGATCCCATTCAGCACTTGTGGTGTATGCATCTAATTGACCTTTGTTACTTTCAGCCGTTAGATTGATTCCTAAGTAAATAAAAAGGCATATAACATACAGAAATATTTGGCATTTTATCCTAGAAATAAAATGATTCAATCACATACCAGCGTCATCATATGTCCAAGAGCCAAATTTCAGGGTACAATATTGTGTATCCAAAACAAAGACAAACATTCAAGATAAAAGTATGATATGACTGACATCCTTTTTTTGATACTTACAAATGGAAATGCAGCAATATCAAATGGACAATTTGATTTGAATAATACTGGTGGAACATATAGTATATCACCATTATGTTGCACAACAGCATTGACTTTCACTGTAGTATCAAACTTTTCATCGGCACTTTAAAAAGAAAACACAAACATTATTTTTCAAGATATCTATTTTTTTTTGAAAAATAATAACGTGTTGTATAGAAAAATATCTGGTGTCCAAATTTGTGTACTTGGTATTCACAGTGTTTGAATATTACCAAAATCTTCTGGTCTCCATCTTAAACTGTAATCATTCCACATCTATACAGACATATATAATCAATAAGTTCAGATATTATAGTTAAGTATACATACGATAGTCATCCAACCACTAATACTAATAGCTTCGTTCTTTCCATCCTATTTATATGTTTCAAGATTGAAGAAAACATGAAAAACATGTAAATTGAATCTCACTTACAAAACTAATGATTTGTTGTAATGCTAAATTTATAGTAACAGGTAATGTGTGAGAATCATTTTGAACAGGTCGTGCAATTGGTTTGTATCGACTATTCAGTAAATATTCTAACAAACGAAGTTGATCAGGACCTCCAACTAAAATTCATCATATATTCATTTTCGAAGAAATTCATTAACTTACTTATGAGATTGAAACAGAAACATATGATTAAGAGAAATATTTTTAGTTGTCGTTGAATTGTATGAAACATTTTCTTTGAAACTAAGAAAAGACATCAAATTTTTCTATTTGTCAATTTTGCGATTCAGAGCTGTACTTCCCCATGGAGTAAATTTCTGCGGAAAAAACGCGTTTTCTCATTACTGCTAAACGCGTTAATGCTGACCGGTTTAATACGTTTCAATGATGTGAATGTTAACGATGCGCAACGCTACTAAGAAGAACGCGTTTCATAGCATTTCGTTTAGAAAGTGTGAAACGTGTTAAACCGGTCAGCATTAATACGTTTGGCAGTTGTTAAAAAAACAGATACTAAACGCGTTTTTGGAGGATTAAAAACAAGATTAAATTGGTGGAGTGTCCGCTATCTAGTCACTCCATAATTCAACTATGCTATCGTAGCCTTTATTCGCACATGATAATGATAGTTTAACAGAAATTGTAAGCGAAATTTGAACAGTTCTAAGAGACAGATTTGAACAAGAGAACAGAAGATGAAATACATTAGAAGACGAACACAGCCACTAGACTGAAACACCTTGAAGAATGAAATTGTACATTTTAGCCTGATTCAGATAGTCAAAGTATTACAGATTTTACAATAATATATTTTCAATATCGCTTTTTAATGAGTGTCAATATTGACGGATTTCATTTTCACGCTATTCTAAAATAATTATGAATTATTTCCACACGAACTTTAAAAAACGATAAATTATCTTTTTTATAATTTATACTTAAAATAAGTAAAATTTGATAGTTTATATTTGAATAAATATAACTTATGATGATAAATTAGATTTATTATAAAACATAACTTTTTTCATAATTTATATTTGAATACAAATATAAATTACCGTAAGTTATGTTTGTATCAAATATTTATTATTAAGATACACATTTATTCTTAAATGTAGATTACGAAAAAGAATGATTTGTATATTATTTTATAATAAAAATCAATGATAATTTAATTTACGTAGAAATTAAATTGAAATTAAAAATAAATTGACATTTCTAGTTTATATGAGATAAATGACAGAAATGGTGAACACAGATGTATCGAACTTCATCTTGCACTGTCATGTTATATTATTTGAAGAACTGTTAAGACTTTCGAGAAACACAAAATAACAGCAAAAAAGTGAAATATAAAATCATGACGAACATATGATTCATTGCATTTACTCATACAATATGAAAGGATATTATAAAGCTTGCAAAAAATGGTTTGAGATAATATATCATAGATTATTGCTGAGTAGTAAAAAGTTGGATAGTTTCAGTTATCTTTTGAAGAAAAAAGATTGAAGAAGAACGCAATTTGCTCCATATAGCTACTTCTTATTCATATCGTAGTATTCAACAACATTCTTTGAACTATCCTTATAAAAGGTTTGCAACATTCAAATGAGCTGATTTCTTAAATAGTACCACTCTAAAAGCAACTAGGCATTAATAAACCGACCGATTATATGTTCCATAAAACTCTACATTTAAAGTATATATTTTTTATTTTTAAAAAATTCTGTTTTCTAGTTTCATAAACTGACTAGTTTTCAAAATTTCCTAGTTTTTACTAAATTATTATTTTGCTGGAGTATCTATTATAAAAGAAACACTTTCTGATTGACAGAGTAACGAAAACAAAATTTCATAGAGGTAATCTTATGGGTTTTTTAAAACTCTATTGATAACCATGTATAGTTCGAACTATAAACCCGATGATGTCACAAGCTGATCAATCAAAATTCGAAAAATCAGATTGAAAATACACTCATCTTTGAATTACATTCTTATTCTATTGTACTAAACTAAAAATTATACTTGTCTATCTTAACGTTTTAGTTTTTAGAGTTGCATTTTTGTAAAATGATAAAGAAATAAGGTCTACTCTAAATTATTTTGCTGACAATTAACTCCTAAGATTATACAAGAGACTCTAACTGCACAATTATTACATAGTATTCACGAAACGTGACGCGTTATCTGCTTGTCACTATATTCGATTTGTTTTTGTTGATGCTTGTCTCTAACAATAATTGTGAAGGATCAAAAATGAGAAATAAAGAAACATGAAGTTGAAATGTATTATATTGACTATTGCATGCCTTTATTTATGAACTTTTGTTCAAATCTACTTCCAGTGCCATCTGTCGTCCACATTCATAAAAGTTTTCAGCAACAAAAGGGTAGAAAAACGAAAGTGTTTAGCATAAATTACTTTAGATGAGTGGTTTATTCTTTTTTTCCGAAGAAAATAATTTTGATCGCAGTGTGATGATCAAAATTTAAAATTAAAATGTAGCACCGAATAGCAAAAAATGAATTTATAAAAAAAATGCCTTTTATACTTTATTCGAAAAATGGGGTCTGTGAAACGGTTTTTATTCGAAGAAAAATGCAGCGAAACGCGTATTAAACAGTTCCCCTATGAAACGTAATGAAACGCTTTCGAGAAATTAATGCGCTTCACATAGTTTCCTAAACGCTCATCTACGAAACACATTTTATTGAAACAAAAACGCAGCGAAACATCTTGTGTAATATTTTTCTAGAAAACGAAGTGAAATGCATTCAATAAATAAACGTGTTCTGCATCGTTACCGAAACTAGAATCCGCGAAACACGTGTAGTTCCAGCAAAAAACGCCGTGAAATGAGTTAAGTTAGAAGAAAACGTAGCGCAACGCGTTTCATGCGACAGAAACGCGTTCTGCAGTGCGTTTCCTTTATTTTTTTATCCCATGGGGATCCTAACACTCTTAACGGACTTTACATATTTATATTTCCTAGTCGCTACGAAGATATAAGATATTTTGTTTTTCGATTATTTTTTATTCATTCACTAGTATTTATTGAGAAAATTCAAAACAAAAAGTAACTTTACTTCTAGCTGGAATTTATAATTCGATTTTTAAACTAATATCAATTGAATGTTTCTATATAGAAAAAAAAACAAATACGTTTTACGATAGGATATGTGACAAAATATTTTGATTATTCGTAGTATCATAATGACTTATAGTGCAGGTCTAAGAGAGCGTATCACTGACTTAAATTAATACAGAAATATTTTTTTTGTTTAAACTAGATGAAAACGTTCTTAACATTAAAAATCGAAACTAAATAATAGAGCAATAAACTTCAAAGTCTTGTCAATAACTTAAACATATTCGACCAGAATGCAAAATCTTACTGTAATATCTATACGATTGAAATATTTTTGCATTAATATAAATCAAGTGTTTATTGCATCAAATCACCGTTCGTTATTAATGATTTCGATTATCATCGAAAACAATAATAATGATATTTAATACCTTATTATGGCTAATGAGAACGTATAACGAGAAAAAACCGTAATAATTATGAAACGACATTATCGTCAAAAATCACGTGTAAAAATAAACAACTAACGATTATCGAATATTATTGTATAGGCAATCCTATTCCGTAATTTAAACGAAGAACGAAAACGATACACATTAATTAAGAGACGATTGATACATCATCCTGTCATGGTTGAGCGACGAAAAGTATGAATAGAAAAAATATGTATGTGACGATAAAGATAATTATGCCTGGATCGAATGATAACCCTTCCTAAATTTTCCTTCAGACAATTGAACTTCATGTTTGACACGTAGACTTTTCAAAGTTATCTGCAACCATCATACCTAATACATCAGTTTATTTTTAAATTCGGTTTATTAGACAGCAATTGATATCGACGTTTTTTAATTACTAGTATGTGAGAACAGGAAGACAACGAAGAGACGTATTTGATTAAAATGTTAGTTTTTATTTTGCAAATCCAATATAATTTAATGCCGAAGATTCAATCCTATCGAAAAACTTTGTATAACTGTGTCTGGATTTTTTTATGCAACTATTTATTAATTATTCGACATGGGATTACATGTCGTTTTTTATTAATCTATGAAAATCTATTAATCCAATAAAAGATATTTATTGTGTATTATGGCTCTGATCATATAGAGCTCAAGACTCGGTACAATTTATCGTATTTGAAAAGGTGATACTTATTATCAAATAGAAGTGATGAATCATTTTATGAATATGTGATTCTTGTCTCATCTTGATTTCTTTTAATATCATTGCCAATTGGTTATTTTTCTTTCTTGTTTGAATATTTACTTATACGTACATAGAAGCTATGTTTTGTCAATATCGATTTAATTAATTACTCGTATGCGGAAAATTATAAAAAGGATGATCATTAACTTACAAACTGAATGTTCATTAGAGATAATATTGAATATGTCATCTATCAGTTAAGATGATCAGAAAAATAAATATATTTACTCATAGATGTTGCGATAGTTTATTAGCGATGATCCTTTAGCAAAGGAACTTATAAATTATACCAAGAATGGAAAGAATTACTAACGAGAGAACGTTCTGAAATGATCATATCTGTTTGCCTTCATATTTTTGTAAATATGTAGGAGGTCATTAGGGTAGCGGAACTTCCAAAGATTTTATGCCCATGGTTATATTTGGTCGAGATAAAGATTGTTTAAGAGGTTTTTTCTACAGGGGTCCAGTTTTCAAAAAAAAAGTTATATTTAGAAATTTCTACCTGAATTGTTGTGCACATGAAAGTCACTATTAGACTATTTTATGTATAAAGTATTGTCAATTTTGAATATTACATTGGCAAGATCTTACACAGTACTGAAAGTAAAGCATAGATACATTGAGAAATCCATATCTTAGCAATGCAATATCCAAAATTAATAAAATTTTGTACATGAAATGATCTAATAAAGATCTTCATGTATAGTAATATTTTAGATTGAAGCTTTTAAATATAATTTTTTTCGAAAAAAGGATTTCTGCAAGACGAGAAGTAATAGACAAAAAAAGAGTAACCTATCGTTGTAGTTACAGTGAAATTTGCATTCGAGACGGTACTGCACGAATTGATTTTATTTGAAATTAGCTGCATGTCGTCCAATGTGATTGATCAAACTTCGACAAATTGCACTTATCGTGATAGGAGACA